TCTGAGATCCTTGCGTTCATACAGACAAACGGACAGACAGACAGACAGACAGACGGAAAGACGGGCATGGCTATATCGAATAAACTTGCCACCCTGAGAATATATATACTTTGTGGAGTCTGCCACGCCTCCTTCTATGTGTTACATGTCTTTGAAATATTTACTATTAGGTATGTTTAAACATAATCCTCTAAGCGTTCATGAAATTTGTGATTTTCGCAAGCTACAAGTATTTCGCCCACAGAGCGACGTTTAAGACCACTGTTATGCGAAACGGTGCATATAAAACGGCATTTGGTGCCTCGAGATGTGCACATGTGACTTGGTGGGACATGGCTTGAGTTGGGGCTTGTGGCCACACTGCTGTGTACGCGCACTGGGCGCGCTTTAATTAGATCATATTTTGTCTGAAACCTAAAAGTATTCTGTGCAACATTTTACGGTTGGCAGAAAAGTTGATGTGTCTGTGTGCTTGAGCGCGCAACAAAATGTCGGGACTCTCCACATGTCAAAGCATAATAGGAATGTGTATATACTCGTATGCAGCATTCTGGTGGTGTATTCAAAATCACAGACTCATGAGCTTGCTCGTGCTTCGCGTGCCTCAACCCATACTTGTAATAGCGCAGAGAGTCGACAGTTGGCCCATTATGGACTAACCCATCAGCCCCAATCAAACGACAAGTGGCAACAAACCCGAGGCAAGTAGCAGCTGGCAGCAGTTCAAAACTTTTCTCTACTTCTTGGTTTATGGGTAGGCGATGCCCTCTTTGGGGAAACAGCTTTTGCCAGCACTACAATATCTACGTTTTAATTGAATTTGTGTAAATTATTTTGTTTTTAGTCGAGAATATTGTGGTTAAGAGGGCAAGCGATAAATAATGGGTGCTATCTTGTGTGTTCAGTTCCCATACAAAGCAGACTTTTATACATCATAGTACCATACATTCAGATAGTGTACATAATGTATCTAGCCCTGGCTTAACACGGGGTTGCGTTCCTAGAAAACCTCGTGTTAAGCGAAATCGTGTTAAACGAGACAAGGACTCCATAAACAAAGGGGGTTACGTTCCTAGAATTCGAAAAATACACCAAAAAAAAGTTTTGCTGTTTAAATTTCCACTGCGTTAAAGGTCCAAACATTTTCAAAATTAACAAAAAGTTAAACCAAGTGTTGAAATTTGAGAAGCATTTGGTCCCATTGGCATATCATCTAATTAAATGCCTTTTTGTGCTAAATATTATTTTGTTTGTGTTGGTCCTCTTTCTTGAAAAAGAAAGTGTTTTGCGATTGTAAGCAACCGCTGATCAGAATTTCTCCAATACCCATTCAATGTTGCCTCCTTAAGCTTTTTTAGAGATAATATAAACTATTGAAGGCAATAGGAAATTTCTTTCCAGTACTAATTCCGTCGATGGAGCCCGTTTCCCGTTTTCCTAATCGCCTAAAATACTCGTAATAGTACATATGTTTTGAAAGTGACAACTTTTATTGTAACATTCAGATTTAGACAGTATTATTGCATTCCAGCAAAACGAGTGAGTTGAAGTAATACGCTTCTTTTTTAAATGCACCTAATTCTGTTTTTACACGGTAAATTGGATCCAGAAAAAGTCGTGTAAAAAAGATATTGATCATATGTTATTTTAAATCGTGCTAAATGGAGTAGTGTCATGTAACCATATATGTATAAAATTTTTAATTTTCAAGCCGTGTTGAATCAAACCCGTGTAAAAAAGACCCGTTTAAAAACAGAATTAGGTGTATTTCTCAACTTATACCGCGTAAGAGCGAGATTTTCAAATCAAAACCGTGTAAAAACAGAATTAGGTGTAACTACACTTTATTCTTTAGATTATTATATGAACATATCTATTTTTCTATTTGCAAGGTATTTGGATGGGAAAGATAATGTGATTGCCTGTTGTATTTAATGTAATTGTATGACTCTTTGTTTGCATAAATGGTCTTCCCAAAGGGTAATGGGGTATACTACGCTTAGAAAGTATGTAGTACCCAGATGGAAGCGTGGTGTGCCTGGCAAAATATATATGTACACGTATATTCGTGATTAGTACGAGTATAACCAGACCAGGGGGTATAGGATCTCTGGAAGGCTCACAGCGTTATACAAGATTTTAACTCACTTTAATCGTGTTTTATGTACATACATACTTGTATATGACCACAAATTGGATTGAATAGGAAGTGCAAAGATTGCTGTGCAGTCGCAACTCCAAGATGAAGATTTTCAAAATAATCGTGCAATGCATTCAGGTACTAGTGTGTATATAAATTCCCGTAGTCCTTTCGCACTGTACAAGCTTAGTGCCCTAGTTACGCAACATCAACGTACTTGTATGTACACATACTCGTATATAGTAGATATATGTATGTATACTTGCATGTACAAGTATGTATACTCAGAACATACTTGTATGTGCTATCCAGGCTGTGATTGTGGAATCATATTGCTAGAAAGCCAACAGCAATATGCACATGTACTCGAAGTACACGTATCCACCCAAATGCCTTGTAAGCGCCCAGAAGTGCATAACGAAATTGTAGACGATATTATATCGCTTTGTGGTTTCCATGCTTGCTTGCATTGATGCGCTTAAGTTAATTGACTTTTAATTGCTTCGGTGCGTTACAATCGATGTTTCTGCACAGGATTAAATGCCAGCCCGCATTCAATCCAATAAATTCTAATTAATGATGCGCAACCATATAAATTACAATTCTCATATACTTGGACATATGAACTCGTACATATACATATTTGTATATGTATGTATAAGCTAGCACCAGAAACATTCGAATGCAAAAAAATAAAAATAAAAGGACGTCTCTCACTCGCATCCGGCATTGCAAAGTTCCCATGCAACAACCCCTTTGGCATGCGAGCCGCAGTGTCAGCTCCGTGCAGGAAACTCGTGGCTGTGCAACACAGCTTAATGCTGGTAACACACCAAAGGACCACGTGACAGTCGACGAACAGACGTAACACCTCGAATTGAGTCTGTCAATTAATTTAGTTTCGAATTTATACGAAACGAAACTGTCATTTGAGTCGATTCGATTTCACTTATTTGACTTTATACATACATACATATAGGCGCATTCATCAAGTTTTAAAATGAAATGAAATAAAATAAAGATATTCGTGCCTGTTCACATTTGGCGAAGCCTCAGAATTTTAGCTGAGAAACTAATAATTATTGTTGTACAATGCTTGCAAATTATATTTGAAAAGCAGCATTCATTTACTGCTAAAAACATACAAGTAACTTGCCAATCGAAGAAAACAAGCCTGGCAATAACTCTTTTTTGAAGTACAATATTACAATATTTGAATATTATTGCCAGTCCGGAGATATTACTATAAATAGCTTAGTTTCCATTTGAAATGCATAAAGCCAATTGGAAATTTTGGATATATAACTGCGGTTGCGAATCGTGTATATATGAGTAGATGAACGCACGAGGGGCGCAATATTTATTTAAAATCAATTTACGAAATAAGAAACTAAGGGGCGACAGTAGAACTGCAACTAACAAATATCAGCATTTAAATAGCATTTTATGCCGGAAGACGACCAACACTGCTACTCACCAAATTTCTGATACAAAGAACTTAGTTCTTTGACTATGAATCTACCCATCAGATGGGAAAATATAAATATGTATATATTTGAATGTACAATTCATTTGATAACAAAATTTGTTTTGAATAAAGAAGATATTTCGCATCATGCCGAGCGAATTCAAAAGTATGGCCTGGATCAAAAGATCGATTTTCGAAAAAGTCATTCAAGCCTCGATTATCCCGTTAATAAGTTGACCATTTATTTCACATCTGAATACAAATTCTGAATTCGATTGACACATCGACCATTTCGATGGGCAAAGTTAAAGCTTTATAGTTATACTATGTAATATCATAGTGTGTTCTAACCATTTGCTCATGCTTTCGTCCTTTATAGCCTAGTTATAAATGCCATATAATGTTAATGGAAACTATATTAACAGATGAATTGCAAATTTTTGTTTCGTTTTTTTTTTTTTTTTTTTGGAAATCTGTAATCTTGCTAGATGGAACAATTATTAAATTTTATAAGAATTATGACATTTGCCTAATCAAGCTTTTGACATGATGGATTCAGCAACGAACTCACATTGTGGGATTCCTGCTAGCTCGTTGAGCTATGCCAAGCTCCAAATTCATTTTAAAAATCGGAAAATGCTTAAAATTTTAGCTCATAGGTCCTAACTTAGCATAGCATCCTAACATAACATAACAAACATACTTAGTATCTTATCATAGCACTAAGCATATGTCATGGTCCAAATAATATTAATTGAAACACATACTGTTTATTAAGTACCATATTTTTATGCTCTATACCTAAAAGGCACAAAGGTGCAAAGTGTAAAATGTAATAGCCACAAGGAGGCGTGGCAGACCCCACAAAATAATTTTTTTTAATAACAATTTTGTTACATTTTTGAAATTTGTATACATTTTCTACTCATAGGTAAAGTTCAAAATCGGGGAACTCGACTAAACTTTTCCACTTGTTTAGCTTTTAAGTTCGACAGTGTGGTCCTCTATAGATTTCAATGCTTTGCTGCTATCTGTAACTTCACTTCAGGGTGAAGAGTATAGTACATACTTGTAGTACTATGTATATGCAAATAGTTACGAGATATACCTTTTGGGAAAATTCTGTGTGCACAATAAATGCAAGTACTTGTACAGTCGTTGGCTCTTTTTTTTAACTTTGGCAACATTTTGGGACTTTAAATTTGAAGTATCGTTTTTTTAAAACTTTATTAATATCTGTCCAAAGAAGGACTATTATTAGATTATACGGTAGCATTGCAATATGTTCAATCATGCGTTCTATCGTGATGGTTGTGAAGAAATATCCTTAAGACTTATCGCTTTTTTGGTCTGGAGCCCATGTATCTTATTTTGTACCCTTTTGCCTTTCAGACGAATTCTGCGAGGAGTACCCGCATAATTTAATGCCCACACCTGGCTATTGGATTGAGTGCTCGCGTCAGAAAATAACGCTGCCCACGCCACACACAATTTGGGATGAGAGTGATTCCGAGCATGAGGATATACGCGCTGGCAGCGCAAATGATGCCTACTTGGAACGGGAGTGCAGTGATCTTTATGAGGACGATGAGGACTCTGAAGCAACGCCAAGGTGAGTGAGGCTTTGAATGCTTTAGTATTTAATATCCTCCCACTTTACATTCTAAAGTAGTCCTAGAAAGAAGACGACCATTGAAGAGCAGTGGGATCAGCAGGGGGCATTTGAACTCATCTCCGTTGAACAGGAGACCTACGAGAAGTACTTCTACGGCACTGAGCACTGGAATTATTTTACAAGTGATGAAGACCTGGGTCCAGTGATACTTTCTATCAAGCAGGAGACACTTAACGGTCGGGACCAGTTTCGCATACTGGTGCGAGCCGGCTCCTACACCGTACATGGACTGATACCGGCGTCTTGTGTGTTTGCCGATAGGTGAGCGATCTCGGTCTTAACTTAACTGTTATGGACAGAATATCCAATTTCAGTCCATTTACAGATATAATCGGGAGGAGGTAGTTAGATCTTTAGGTAAAGAAGTAAATTTAAATCCACCTTTAACATTAGGGCAATTACCGGATACGCCAGAGGAATTATTAAAATTAGATCAGGTACGTTTTGCCACGAAACTTGTCAAATGCAGTCGTCCTGAATCCCTTTGTTGTGTTTTGTTGTCTCTTTGACAGGTTTTTATAAAATCAGAATTAAAAGTTGGCGTTATTTTTGTTAAAGAGGATCAATATACAGAAGAACAAATTTTAGACAATAATGAAAATTCAGCGCTCTTTGATGAATTCCTAACGCTGTTAGGCGATCGCGTGCGTCTACGCGGTTTCGACAAATACAAAGGTGGCCTTGACACGGTGCATGACCTAACAGGTGAGTCTGACACCCATGGATGAGCTGAATTGGGGAAGCATCTTACAAGTAGATCCCACATTGTATACAAATATTGAGTTTGCTTAATCACATATGACAATGTTGAAAGACTCGGATGGTTGTAGAGATGTGGGCTCTTAGATGCTCCATGCTGCTGATTTGTTGTACTAATGCCTTGGCTATATTCTTAACTGAAGGTCTCTTTTCTGTCTATACGAACTGGCGCAATATCGAGATAATGTTTCATGTATCCACACTATTGCCCTATGAGAAGCACGATCCACAAAAGCTACAGCGCAAACGTCACATTGGCAACGACATTGTCTGCGTCGTGTTCTTGGAGGCGGACAACACTCGCTTCAGTCCCGCCTGTATAAAGAGCCATTTTCTGCACACATTCATACTGGTGAGTCAATTATAGAGAATTATAGAGAGTGGCATTTGAAATAAGAAAAAAATGATATATAGGTTCGCGTCTCAGCGCGCATCAAACACAAGCCTACCCGCTATGAGGTGTCGGTGGTGACGCGGGACGAAGTGGGTGCCTACAAGCCATACCTCTGGGAGCAATCGGTGTTCGAAAAGGGTCCCATGTTTCGGTAGGTGTCAGTCATACTCGTATTACAAATCGAGTCACATTATCATCCACATCCACTGATCTACTACTTATATTTGCTCTTTATTTCCATCTGCTGTGCTGTGTGTTCTGCTCCAATGTTTCAGCGAATGGCTGCTAACAAAAATCGTGAACGGCGAACGTGCCTCGTACTCGGCACCGAAATTCGCGCGCATGCAAGAACGCACACGGTCGCAAATGCTTGAAGATTTGGTGATGAATCTATCGAATCATGCCGAAACCGGGCAAATACCGAAACCCTATAGACGCGGCTCCTGGCGACCGATTGGTGAGGATGAATATTTCAAAATGTTGCATGCCAGAGTACTTGACAACAACAAACACATCATGAACATAACAACGAACACAAATAAGAGCAACTGTTATTGCTATTGTTATGCCGGTGGTGGTGGTGCTGGTGCTGGTGGTGCTGGTGGTGCTGGTGGTGCTGATGGCGGTGGTGCAGCTACACACACACATGTACATCATGCATATGCATATCAAACAAACAATCAACAAACGTCGCCAACACCGTCAATGTCAGCGTTAGGGGGTGGGACGACATCGGCCGCATTGTTGGGCCTCGATGTGTGCTGTGTGATGCACCTCTGCGTGAGGCATAGTATGTGTTGATGTTGACCCCCGCCCCGGCCCCGGCCCCGGCCCTGGACCCAGCTCCAGCTCCAGCTCTGGCCCCCCGTTCCGGCTAAGCAATCCCCGACATCCGCTGCCCACCGCACTCTACAATCCAACCGCTGCCGTGCCTTGCTGTTTGTGTGTGTGTCTGTGTTTGTGTGTGTGTGTTTATGTGTATTTGATAAATGTGTTAAAAATTCAAATGTGCACCCATTCACCTGCCCACTTCCTCTTCCGCTGCCAACGGGAAAGGCAATGACAATGTGTCGACGTTGGCTATGCGTCTTTTGTTGTCCTTGTATGTATGTTCCCGTACATTATGATTAATAGTTTCGTTGTTGCAACACTTCCGCAAGCCCCCACACACACACACACACACACACACACACACACACACACACACACATGTATATGAGTAGACACACTTCCGTTTCCGCCATTAGCACATCCGGAACTAAACCTCACCATATCTGCATGGGCATATGTTTATGTTCTGTCCCCACCATCCCACCCTCCCCCGACAGTCCCTCGATAAGGCAACGCACTAAAGTCGACGATGACGACAAGAAGAAGCTGAATAACAGACACAAGAAACAAGTCGGAAAATTGGAAGGAGAGGAAAAAGCAAAGCACATGCCGAGACAATATGCTAAGGACTTGTCGCACGTCATCTCAAGTCTTATGTTGTCCAGTTCGTGTCCCCGACAAGGGGGCGCAACCATTTCTTGCGCTGTGTGGCAAGTTGTTTCCTCTTGACGCCGCCTTTTGTTATTGCCTTTGCCGTTTCGAATTGGTTAGGTATCTTGTTATTTATTTGTTGCTATTTGTTGGATTAGACAACACAAATCTAATTTGATTTATTCATGTATGCAGTCAAACAAACAAGTATGCGTATGTACATACATATCTAGGTACGTACATACTTGTACAAACATACATACATACATACATACATGCCAATTGCAAAAGCTATAGCATTGTGTCGATATTTCTCTTGACATTAGTGCTTTTGCTTCCATACTCTATGCCTAAAAGGAACAATAGTATGTTAGGGTTGTGCAAAGTGAAAAATGTAACAGGCGGAAGGAGGCGTGGCATATACATACTTATATTTTCTTGATCAGCATGAGAAGACGAGTCGATTTAGCCTTGTCCGTCCGTATGAACACCCAGATATCAGATACTAAAACATACTGACGACAAATTTTGCTCACAAATGGTCTACAAGTATATGTGTAAGCAGTACAGGTGTATTTCAAAATACTCCTCCTTCCCCCAGTCCACCGCTATTAGTGATATCCCACAACTAACGTAACTCTTGCAATTTTTCAATCAAATTTGACAATTAATTTCGGTTAGTGCTTATGTGTCCGTAGCTCAAGTTTCATTGTTTATGAAAGTAATTGGCATAAATGTTATCTCTAACCAAGCTCTCCCAGCAGCTGTTGTTGTTGTTGTTGCTGCTTTGGCTCAACTCTGTACTGCCTACATAGAGAGACGCAGAAACGTATAGACACACATAGACACAATATTGAGTTAAATTATTGAGTTTACTCAATTAGTGTAATTTTAAATTAACTAACAAAAATTAAAAATTAATTAACTTGCAAAAAATAACTTACAAACAATTTCTTTATTTAAGAGTTCCATTCTAGTTTTTAATACAATTAAGATTATTGGTTTTTTTTTTTCAATTTTGTTGCACAGGGTGTTTCAAAGTCGGCTTTAGTTTATCCACTTGTTTCAACATATGAACATCGTTAAGTGTGGGAGCAATATTTGCAATCAAATGTAGATCCTATAAAACATCACAGCATTCTTCCTATCAAAGCTATACTAAGTATATTCCAAGAGATTATCGTTGTTAATATACGAAAGTTTTCAGATCGGCAAACCAGCATTTAAAATTGTTGCTGAATATAGTTTTTTTTACTGAATTTAAGATAAAATATTTACAAATAATATACATACATATGCATATAGCCTTGTGTCGTTAAATATGCATAGTAATTGGGTATAATATTCGAAAAACTGCACGAGTTATGGAAAACCAAAAAAACCTATTCTACAAACAGACAGACACATTTCAATCGACTTATCTTAACATAATGATCAAATATTCCCTTTCTTATACACTTTTGCACTGAGCTAGTATGCCTTTTAAGCTTTTGAGCACAGGGTATAAAATCGCAGTTATACGTGCTGAACCTCATTTCGATTTCGATAAAAATATTTACCACAATTGCAAGAATCGAACTTTTAATGCCAGGATGATTACCAAATAATCCGAATCTCTGAAAAATAATATTAAATAGGATGATGAGAAAAAAATTAACCACAAAATCCAAAGTAGAGAACTTTGATAGCACTTGGAAAAAGAAAGCTCACTTAGCCTTCGTCGGCTGCAATTATAGCTAATGATATGTAGGTCTGATTTGGAAAATAGGAACTGGAACAGTTTATAGAACCTCTTTGACCAGGGCTTACTATACTTGTAGTTACTATAGCAGTCTTAGCGTTTATCAATATTCGACATGGGAAAACTCTTAATAATCCTGTTGTCGGTCTCGTTGAATGGCATTCCATTAATGAATGCAATAATTACAGAATTAAAGATTTTTTTTGTTGCATCAGCATGCCCTTATCTTGTTGATTTGTGGTTTCCATGCCTATACCCGATACTATATAATGGACCCACTTGATCTTAACCCAACTCGATTGTATTTTGAAATATTAGTTTGGCTTAAGGCACTCATTGTACAAATCTGATTTGTTCTGTTCGCTATCAGGTCATATGCGACCTTCCTCGCCGCTGCTGGACTCGGTGCGGGATCAATTTGAGGACTACGATCAGCTGGCCAAAGACTTTACGCGTGTATTTCTAAATGAAGAACCATCGTGCCTGACCAATGCGCATCTGTTTGATGTCGTCTTCCTCGTGGGACAGTCAAAGCAGAAAGCACGTTTTATAGGAGTGCGCGCTATTCTGGGTGTGCGCAGTCGCGTCTTTCAGGTAAGTTGCCCGGATTAGGTCTTCCGTTCCTACTTTGTAATGTGTTGCTCTTAGGAAATGCTGTATGGCATACAGACTGGCTTTGGATCGCCGCAGATACCCGTAGCGGAGATCTTTGCGCGACCCGCTCCCTCACTGGTTTCACCGCAAAATCAAAAACCCAAGAGTAACAACTACCTTACTGTGCCCGACTCCGACTCCATACGGCCGAAGAGTGTTCCCTCATCACCAATGGTAAAGCGTGCCTTTTCGCGACTGGGAACGATCACCGCCGGCTGGGGACGATCTATACGAAATAAAAACACAAATCAACTAAATCCGGATGACAAAAAGAAGTGGATATCATCGACAGATTGTTCGAGTAAGAGTTTTCACTTGGCTCAATGCAAATATATCGATGTGGTTTTTTTCTCTGTTCTGTTCTCTTTTCTCTTGTGTTTGTTTTTATCTCCGCATCCGCATCCGACTCCGTCTATTTTCTGTCTACATTTTGTAAACTATTTTGAAAAATGGTCTGGCCCACAACGCTAACCAACTACAAAAACCTATGATATACAACTGCAACCTGCAACCTGCAACCTGCTACCTACAATCAATCGCACGCTCGCACGCACGTTCCACGCCTTGTCTAACCTTATTTAACTAATCCAACTACGTGCCTACTCTAAATAAAACTATCAAAACTGCCTACTACTAATCTAAATGATGTCTCAACATTGAACGGCCAACTGTCCCTAACACCAATGCTCGCGGCCGCGCTCTAATGACGAATGTGCGCATGCCCCGTATGGCTGTGGTGCTCGCCCCACCGCGTCCCTCCTCGGTTGGGCTTCTCGTCGTTCTCGATGCGTAATCCAACAACGAAAATAAAACCAACAACACCAATAAACTACGCTTGTATTGATTTCTTCCCAATAAATCTTCCTTCAATACTTTCCAACATGTACTAAATGGACATTCCTTGCCTCAAATACCCTGGACGTGTCTTGCTATGATCATTCCTTGAAACCACTAAATTCTGTATTTATCATTCCACCCTTTCGATTTATTGTTTTCTGCTCCAATTTTGCAAAATTGTTCACCTTCTGTTGATTCTAAATTGCAATTTTCAAATTTGGATTTATGTATCTAAAAAAAAATACTTGTATTGGAATTTCTTTGCACCCTAACCAACTTCAATCCGCATGCTCTTCTTCTTTGATTAACCTCATTTGGCATTTTCCATATTTTATATATTATTCTTGCCACTCCACAACTTAATATCATATTTATTACATCCGCCAAATACATGCAACATGCAACAAAATAATTTATCATGCACAAATTTTAACTACATATTGCTTACCATAACTCTTTTTTCCAAAATACTCATATTTCTATTACTTCTTAAACACATACGAACAAATTGACTAACTAAAATTCGGATAACAACGACCATTTTTTATGCCGATTCTATCCTTCCCTCACATTGGAAATTACTTTGATTTCAATTTTAATTTTTATCCATGCTCACAATTGCATTTCAACTCGATTTGATTTCGTTAACGTCCACAACCCGCACCCGACAACCGCACTACTGAACTACCAAAACTGTAGACAGAGATAGTAAGGACAAAGACAAGGACAAACCGGGCAACAATCAGCTGGCCGTGCCGCGTCTATCTGTCTGCGCAGACGCGCAGAAGGTCGATCGTGCAAAGCTGGCACAAACGGAGTTCAATATCATCGAGTTTGATCCGGACACATTCCGGGTGCTATTGGACTACCTTCACACAGGCACCTGCCCACTGACATGTGTCTCCATTCCAGGTAATTGAATATTACATAATTTTGACAAATTGCATCCCTCCAAATATGCCTTTAAATATGCTCAGACATGAAAATAATTTACTCAGACGCTTTTCCGATGTCATAAGTACTACTATATTTTTAACAACTCCAACAAATTTGTATTGGGCTAACTATTCAAGGCGCATTTGTAAATTTTCCTATGCAAATCTTATACTTGTAATTTGTTATCTGTTCAAATCCAACTTATGGTAATGCCCCAAATTTTTGATTTACCCATATCAACAGCTTTACAACAATATATATAATGCTTCTGGCAAATACTCGTATGTACCTATATTATTTGGAGCTACTGTATTTATTGGTTTGGCCAACCCTTTGATACTTACGCATTTTAGAGATGATATTATTAAAATCGTCAAAAGTTTCGTAAAGATCTTTAACAGGTAGAGTAGCTAGAAAGCCTGGGTTTTATATTCTTTCAAATCTTATCTTGTAATTCCTGTAAAGTCATGCCAGATCAATTCTAAATGATAATGATTTTATATATAGATAAATAAGTTAAAAGAAGATGACCGGAAACAGGCGAAATTATGAAAAATAAATTCCAAGAATTAGAGGAGTTGAAATGAAACTGCAGATCCTAGAACCATACGTGCTAAGAGGATGACGTGAAGGGCCTCATTAATTCACCTAAGCCTCTCTCGACTTCACTGCCGATAGCTTTCTGTATGAAGTTCGTCTAACGGCGGGATCAGCGCCAGACATTTACTGATAATCATTTTGTTAAAAGGAGAATGTTAATAAAAGCAAAAGAATAAATTATTGCCACAAAATTTGTTTGCTAACAACATTTCTTAAGATAAACGAATTCTAATGACACCTAAAGTTGGGCTAGATGCTCAAACTTACATTTATAGTCAGTGTACAATATATTTAATATAGTTATGCAAATAAGAACAGTATTGTAAAAAGGTAGCTGGGGAAATTGGGTGAGATTTTATACTAGAAGAGCCTACATAGTACCGAGTTTGGTCAAGTTTTCGAAATCAATGCAGACGGACGGAATAACAGACATATTTAAATCAATTCTTCCCGTCATGTTGGTCAATAATAAAAATATATATGTATACGAGTATGTCATTTACATATATACTTTAGGGGGTCGGAAAAATGTCAACGCACCGATTCACTTACCAAATAGATTAACGTCCTTACAATCGTTTCTTCTGTCCAGGTCTGTTATGCGCCGCGGAGCACTATGATCTGCCCGAGCTGTTACAAGCCTGTTTCCACCACTGCAAGCAGTTCCTGCGCATCGAGGTCGTCTGTCCAATGCTCATCTCGCTGGAAAACTACTACTGGCGCTACACATCCGCTTCCGAACTAGTCAACATGATACTCTCGTTCGTGGAGAGCAAGGCGCATGCGTTGTTCAAGTGCCCCGAGTTCCTACAGCTCTCCGAGTCCATGGTGCAGATGATAATGTGTCGCGAGCTGCAAACGCCCGAAATACGAAAGTTCGAAGCGATGCTCGCCTGGGCCCAGCACAAGGTGGCCAAACTAAAAACCCATCCGAACAAGGACACTCAGTTCGAGTTCGAGTGCATCATGGAACGACTGACTCGCGACCTCAATCTGTGCCGCATCTCGCCCAGCGAGCTGCTCACCGTCGTGCTGCCCTCCAAGTCTATGAAGAACGAACGCATCATGGAGACACTGATGGTACAGGTTAATTTGGGCACATATCGGATGCCAGAACTGGATGCGTATCGCCAGCAGTTGCGACAGCAAGAGTCCGCCGAAGCGACCGTGCAAGTACACCGGGGTGGATGAGATAGTAAGAATGTGAGTTTCGATTTGGATCAGCAGCTGCCGCCTACCGCATCGGGAGCTGTAGCAGCAGCCGCAACAATAATTAGCACGGATGCAGACATCGTTCCATCACCCACGATTAATCCAAAAACTTCTATCACCGCCTCGCTGGCCACCTCGCTGGAGCAGCCGCAGCAGCGTGACGCCACCGATGACGAGGTCGAATTATACGCTGGCTTCGATGCTGGTCCAACCACCAGCCGAGTGGCCGCCCAAATGCAAGCGGCCAAGGAGGCGCGCCGCAAGCGATGGGCCGGCGACGGCGCCAGCGGTAGCAGCGAAGGCGGCTGCGGTAGTGGCAGCAGTGGTTGCGGCGGTCGGCGTTACTAAGTTCCATTGTTGCTATGTTGCCCGCATGTGCCCAACCCCAGAAACCACACCCCCAACAGAGCCCCACGCCATCCGAATTGAAACTGACATTTTTAGCTCTTACATTCACCCCGCCAAGCACCGAGAGCAAACCTAAGCGATGAGCGATCACCCCTTTATGCATTTTTCAGAAACTGTTTACATAAAATTAGAATATGTGCGCACACACATACACGCATGCATATGCATGCATATGGGTGGAGATTGTGTGTGGGTGTGTGTGTGTGTGGGTGTGTGTTTGTGTGTGTGTGTGTGTGTGCGTAATAAAATTGTGTGCATAGGCATTAGCATATGCCATATTGTTGTTGCCCAAACATGGACAAGGCAAGAATCCAACTAAAACGCTTACTGATGTAAAACAAAGACTAAAAAAACATTTTTTTATTAAACATTATTGAAAGTGTAAGCTGGACTAGATGTGGCTAATTAATAAGCCACTTATAGTTACCATATGCTAGCCCCCCATCCCTAGACACCTCTTCCCACCCTACTCACTTATACTCCACTCCTCTCCTCTCTCAGCTCCCCATATAAATACATACATACATACATACATAAGTGTTTAAAAGACGAAACGTAGCTCGTCAGATGTTATTAAAGTCTAAGTACAAAAGAGTTCAATACATAAATGTATTTAAGAATTTACTAAAGTCAACCCAAATTCTAATTGTATTAAGGTTGCAAATTTTTTTTGTGTTTAACATTGAACAAAGGATTTTATGAACAAAACCAAAAAACAAGTTACTTATTATAAAGATATCAATTAACATTTAAACGCTTCTTACTGTGTATATGCAGTGCATATTCCGTATATGGCACGGCACATACATACATATAAAACATTTAATATTAATCATATACATATAGTATATAATATATACAAACAAACATATGTTATAAATGTGTATGTATATAAGGAAAATATACATATACATGCATACATGCATTGTACTTATTAAAGGTGCATGCTTAACAAATTGAATATATATAAAATTATGTATAATATTAAATAATATATAACTGTATACCTACAATATATATGTATGTATACTCGTGCATAATATGTGCATATGTGTGTGAGAACTTATAACTAAAATCAAAACCAGAAAATATAAGACAAAGCGCAACTTGGTTTATTACCATAAACAAACAAATATACACACAAAGGATACATTGTATATAATGTACGTATGTATAATCATAGCATATATACATACATACATGCATACATATGTACAAATATAGTACACGTTGTTATACTCTGTTTATGGTCGTCGTACCTTTCAAGAACAACGTTCAAATCCAAACTTCAACTTTTTCCTCCTTTTTTGCTCCAAAACATACTTGTATATTTACAAATTGGTCAAGATACGCCAGAAACCAGACTCCATTGAAGTAACGATAAACTAAGAATAGAGTGGCGTTCAACCACACTTTACATCAATTTATTTCTTCTTTAAATGCCGTTTCATGTCTCTTTCCAATACTAAGATCATTCAACCGAATTAAGTGGCAACGCTGTTTCAAGAAACAAGCGCGAGCAAGCCTGAAACAGCTCTTGACATTTTAATGTAACGGCGCATTTCACGCATCGGTCAGTTTATTGTTGACAAGACAGTGAGAAAACTTTTGAAGGGACAAAGAAAACGTTGTAATACTTGTACATGTTACAGGTTGCCTCATTTGACTAAACATTAACTGCGAAAGTAAAATTGTAAACAACACGAGCTTCACCCCCAAAAGTGCAAGAATATTTTAAAAGACTATTAAATTGAGTAAAAAGCATCGTGTACAAAGAAATTAACAGTCAACATACATATTACTTGTACCCATTGAAGATTGCTTGACAAAATCAAAAAATATGCACTTTTTTATTTTTTCTAAATATTTTAGGTGAAAATAATTGAACGAGATATCCTATGGGATAATATGCTTCTTCATTTTCCGGGATGGTTCATTCGTACCAGCAATAGAGAGACATTTCTTTGATTCTTTTTACGGTCCATAAATTATGTTTTTAAAAGATCCTCAAAATACTCACGTGCTTTAAATATACTCTTCTCATTCAACGTAAATATGTATGTATTTTTCCAATGAGCCACCTTTTCATATTTGGGACTTTACTCAAAATCTAGTGAATAGAATTCTAAATCATAAATTTTCGTCCAGCATTGTCATTAATATTCATTGTCTTAGTGGAAGAACTCATTTTTTTAGTCAGTAAGAGCATTTTTTCTATATTTTTTTGCTCAGCCAATTCGTCTACAGTTCTGTAGTAATAAATAAAGTAATAAAAGTAATCAATGTGTATTTCAAAAAACTTTTTCTCCCCATCTTGCCAAGCTATTTTAACAGTATTGTAAGGATTCAGAGAATTGCAACAAAAAACTGCAAGCAAGCCTTTGAATCGATCACACCATTGTGATCCGTCATTTCATTGTTTTCTGTATTTTGCCTTCCAAATGAAAGTGGCTGATCACAAAACTAAATCCCAAATATTTTCTCAATACGAAATCACAATATTTAGTTGATTGCGAATTGATTAATTGATCGAACCTTCTCGATGAACATCAAAATAACTACGAAAGTTGCCGTGGCTTAAAACTAAAATATGTAATTAGCATCATTGAACTATGAGTAGCTTGTGATATACTGAACTGCTCTTCACAATTTTTTATATTGTACATATTCACACATACATATGTGCATACATGAACCCGTACTTACATGCCCGTAACATCTACATATTTAGGTATATAGTACTATATGTTTGTACTCACATTCAAGTCTATATGAAACGTAAACAGCAGCATTTTCCAAAGGGTTTCAATATATCAAAATTTTATAATACAAAATTATATTGAGTAGCTCAACAGAGAATGATAACTTGGGTTCCGATATGCAGGCAAACCAAACTATTTCAACGGCAATGGTCATTTGCTTAAGATCACTTATGTGTAGCAAATTGTATTGATAATATGAGGAAGGTACTACATTTTACAACAACGGGAATCTTAAACAATAAATATACAAGTAGGTATATGCATAAATATTTCGATGGATATTTATCGAAAAATAACCGCTTCGAATGAGCAATATGAACATCAAAAATCAGACTCGAGCAACTAATGAAAGCATTTAGCAAACCTGTGAGATGCACACATACCTGCAACAAGAAAACAAAGAAAACAAATAACTACTATATATGGAACAGAAAGCTTATACATACATACAGACATATTACGAACATACCTACCTGTTGTTATAGTATCTTTAGACTTATGCGTGGACACTAGCTTACGAGTATATAAAAATGAAATGAAAATACAAGTACATGCGTGAGATAATGTGAGCCCTTCAAAAATGTATAATAGAATCCATACATTCAAGTACATACTATGTGTCAACATGAATAGTATCGTACATACATAAATATTTTACATACATGTGTATATGCCTCAAGTGTTTCTAAGTATTTGAGCCGTGCTGTTAAGCATTTGAATGTTGATGTCAAAGTCAAATACTTTTACATTATACCAAACGAATACGAAACATAATACGTTTCGGACTTGCCGGAGATCCTGTTAGGGCTGCGCGCACACCATGGGTGCTCAAAGAAATTATTTTGCCACACAAATAAACGACAAGATGAATCCGAAATTTTGCTAAATGATAGGTTCGCCTTATTGGGAAATGTGTGTTCAAGAAATTATATGTACAAGAATCGATGTGCTTTTCCAGAAGAAGTACTCTTATAGATCGTCAGCGCACCCCCAATTTTACACACATACATACATACATGCATACATACATACATACCTTGCATGTACTAAGTATTTTAAAGCCTAAGATCGTTCAGATACTACTAAGCGTGTTTTGCGCTTTCTGCAAGGTATGGCTAACTATGGTTCGTTTTCAATAGAGAGATACTTGTATTTAAATCAAACTCAATGTAACACCGTGCATTTGACTATTTTTGAGCTGATATAATACGAATAAGATTACATATAACATGCCAAAAAATGAAAATAAAAGAATTAATAAATACATATATAGTTGTACATACTGCGTAAATATGTATGTATACCTACATATACGGAAGTCAAGTAGTGGCCAAAGCTAGGAAGGAACACACCTTATATACAGAATTGCAAAAATAAGCGAATACACACACACACACACATACATACATACTATACTCGTACATCTAAAATAAATCTATATCTGGCGCTATATGGCGTCCTGGATGTCAAACTTTCAGATGCGCTCGTTATATTTTTGGCCGATAGAAGTATGTACATACATGTGTATGTATATCTAAAAATTTTTACAATAAGGTAATTTATCTATGAGTATGTGTGTACAAATATAACCTTCTATATTTCGTAAGTATATACTCGTACATACATGTGAGTATGTACTCGTATTGAAAATAAAACTGAAAATATTGAAACTGTACCGAACGTGTTTTCTATTCTATTATAAAAACCTGGAGTTGTCCGGAACACCCTGTACTATCACAACTCGTTACAACCCTCAAATAATAAATGTAACCAGTAGCACATTAAAGTCGATCAACTCCGACTCTTCTATACCCTGTCCACAATCCCTCTAACACAGTCTAACAACCTAAGAACTTTATTATACTAATCGTTCCAATAGCAGCTACATGATATAAACCCCCTCTCAGGCACTGACCTGTAATTTGGCGGGATGTGAGTTTTCATTCCTTTGGAGTTGCAAGAGGAATTTGTGAGTTATTTGTATCACCCTGTGCACATAGTTCGGGCGATCTTCTTTTGGCAAGGATCTGACATCGCTCACCAGCATTCATCCAGGCGTTTTGCTCCAGCCTGCTGCAAAACGCTCTTCGGGAGAGAAGTATGTCGTTTGTGCTCGCCAGGACTTCTTTTGAGGATATGGTAGACAGCCGACAAAAATGATAATATGGTCTTTCACAGTTGGTAGTCTTAGAGGCTTTACGGCTGCCATTATTATGGCGAATAGTTCCACCTGGAAGATCTGCACAGACTGTAATTATTTTTTGTAGATCCATAAGTGTTGGTTTCCAAGTGTTGGTTATTGAGTTCTGTGCTTCCCTTTAGCTCTCTGCCAAACTAACTATGCCCGAGCTTTATGGAGTAAAGGAAGATGCTTGCATTTGAATCGAGCTTTGAAAACAATGCATTTTTGATCTGAGATGGAGGGCCTCTTTAGAATACTTCAATCTGATAAGTGCCCGTCTTTACCTTTGAAAGTGTTTGGTCTTACATTAGTGGGTGCCTCCCCGACATTCGATATATTTATTTAGTGACTCAACTTTGCCATTGCTTTCCAGCCTGAGGTGAAGTTATCCGTGCTGTAATTAGACATCAAGGGTTTTCAAAACCTTTAGGCACAACTTTTGCTTCCTCTCCCATTAGGCATAGAGAAGCTCAAGTCCTCAATGCTCCTCTCCTCTGGGAGGGATGTCGCTGCTGTTGTTCAGACAATAAGGGATTCTTAAATCTGCGTTACATTAGGTCTTCGCTGTAAACCATGCCTGACGCCACGCAGCAGGGAATTCTACTCCCTGTGTCCACCGATGGTACCTGTCGTACCTTTCACCAACGTTTGCATTGGCCCAGCCCCTGTTCTCCTCTGCACCCAA